ATGAAGAGAGTAGAGTAAGGCAACTCACATAAAGTCCTTAGAGACTAGAATTTGGTTGTGTGAGGATTTAGGAACCACTACAGCTTTCTTTAAAGTGGAAACATGAGCTTGGCGTGGTGGCTTGTAGTCCCAGCTACTTGGAAGGCTGAGGAGGGATGATTACTTGAGGCCAGGAGTTCAAGACCAGCCTGGGCAACATAGTGAGACCGCATCGCTTAGAAAAAGTGGAAACATGGCTAGGGCAGTATTCAAGGAAAGCAATCAAAATTATCTTTCAGATATATATATATATAAAATATAGAAAATATTTTAAAATATATGTACTGTATAAACATATATATGTATATTTGGCATTTCAGATGTACAGTAAACCACTGATCTCTCCATTACTCCCATATTCTTAAATTCCTACTGCAGTATATGTAAATTATGTATCCATTAAGGATCAGAATGTTATGATACATCATTATTCATTTTTGTGTTTTATCCCCAATAAATAGCTAGAAAATCAATTCATTATTAAATACCGGAGACGCAGAGTAGTATAAAATACAAAACTGTTTTCTACTAAAAAGTGTTAAGCTGAAATATGATTAGATCTCCTCTGGTAAAACATTGGGAAGTACAGTTCTATTTAGTACATTTTTCAGCTACAGTTGATGTTTATCACTAGGAAAAAAGCTTTGTTGAACCTGCTTTTCTACATGAGTGAACCTTTACTCAGCAGGATATTTGGAAGAGACATTAAAGTATAAACAATAGTTTGGTAAGGTCAAACCTGGGTGCAAGAGAAGGCTCGTGCTCCCTCTGGTGGTGATAATATCTTACTATTTTAGTGAAAAGTACTGATACTGTGGAAGATGAGGCTGTCGGGGTGATGTTCTCAATTACACACAAAACATGTAAGTCTGGTGCGTTAAGTGAAGATATAACATGAACCCCCACCCCCAACCCAAAGTGCCTCCTGAGCGATCTTAAGCAGCTAAGTTGTTCATCTCAGTGGCTTCCTAAGGCTTCTTTGATTTGGAGGGGGAGGGAGAAGAGTAAGACATCTAATTAGATTTATTTTAACCAGTCAGGAATGTGACAAAGAATGATTGGGATATTTGTTAGGAACTTTGAATTCCTTAAATAAAGATGTTTTGTAAACGTACATATTTTCAACTCTAAATTTCCTTTCAGAGGAGTGATCAGTATAAAGAAGGACAAAAAAAAAAAAAAAAGTAAAATACTGCCATATTTTTTAGTATAATATACAAAATATAGTAAATATAATATTAGATAATGTATTGCCCATAGTATACTTTTAGATAATATAGTTGAATAGTTTGGGGACTATATAAAATGATCATATGCAGTGATGGAGTTTAAATCCTTTGTAGATTTATGATATGTCTGTTTTAGGGTTTTGGAATAAGGGAAGTGATTTGTGAATGATGTGTCATCAAACTAATTTATCTGATTAAAGTGGAATATTTGTATGTGGAGGAGGGATGCTTTTGAAAAATACTGGACTAATACTGGGTTGCATGATTATTTTCTATATAGGTCGTACCTTTGGATAACTTAGGGTTCTATTTCCTTTCCTTAGGAATTTATTTGGAGAGTTTAAGTAAAACATCGGCATAATTAAGTGCCTCAAATTAAGAAAAATGACTGCTGAAATTCCACAGCTTTCTAAATCCACACCAAGCTGCAGATCATGAATTCATCCTAAATTATTGATTAAATGTGTGCAGATGTAAGCATAAAAATAATACATTCCTCATTAACAAGCAGCTTGTGTTGACATTTGTGAAATCACAGGTGGTCTAGCAATCAGAAAATTAGCATTTTTTAAGCTTTGGAACTTTTCCTTGCCTTAAAACTGTTTGAAACTACTGGCCACGTCAGAACTTAGTTTATTTAAAGATATGACTTTCATGGTGCTATAGAACGTAAAGATAAAGACTAAACTCCTTAATCTTTTAGGATCAATGTTTATGGCTAGAAGGACTGATGATCTCATTCAGCTTAAGATAACATTTCTCAGGCCAGGTGCAGTGGCCACGCCTGCAATCCCAGCACTTTGGGAGGCTGAGGTGGGCGGATCACGAGGTCAAGAGTTTGAGGCCATTGTGGCCAACATGGTGAAACTCCGTCTCTACTAAAAATTAGCTGGGTGTGGTGGTGCATGCCTGTAGTCCCAGCTACTCGGGAGGCTGAGGCCGGAGAATGGCTTGAACCCAGGAGGCGGAGCTTGCAGTGAGCCAAGATGGGGCCACTGCACTCCACCCTGGGTGACACAGAGAGACTGTCTCAAAACAAAACAAAACAAAAAAAAACAAGAAAAAACCAAAGATAACATTTCTCTAATTCTTCTGAGATGGGAATGAAAAGCATTTCCTGTGGAATTACAATCACAATATTTTAAAAAAACAAAACAAAACATGAAAACACTCTTATTTTTTTCCTGATAACTAAGGTAAGAAATTCTCCTGGCTTAAGAAGATCAGAAAATATAGAAAAGCATAAATAAGAAAATAAAATTACCTGCAATACCAGCATTCAGACATATCCACTGTTATCATGTTATCAGTTTTTTAATGTATTGTTCATAGTCACTGTCTCTCACCCCTAGGCCGGTTATCATGGGGTGTGTGTCCTCCTGGTCACTCATAACTTTTCTCATTCTCCCCATGTCCGCCCTAAAAGCATTCAGCTTTGAATTGCATGCCCTCACATGATACCACTCACCACTTCCGGTAATTGTCATCAACTGCACCTTGGGTCATTTTCCTCATTCTTTTAAGATTGAGTTTCTGCTTTACTGTCACTCTCTCCAGCACTATTCCAGTACTCACATAATGGATCTTTATAATAACTTGGCTTCCACTACCCAACCACAGCCACTGAATTCCTAGGTCATACCCTTAATCAGTGGTTTTCCAACTGGGGGCAGTTTTGCTTCCAAGGGGACATTGTCTACAGACATTTTTGGCTGTCACACTGGGGAGGTGCTACTGGTGTCTAGAGGGTAGAGGCCACAGGTGCTACTGATCATCCTACAGTGCACAGGACAGCCTCCTACAACACAGAATTAGTATGGAAAATGTCAGTAGGGCCAAGGGTGGGAAACCCTGCTGTAACTAGAAGACAGCTGATATGTCCACTATCATACCTTCCTGAAATAAGAATAATGATCAGTAGAATAGCTTCCTAACCTGGATATTATGGAATACTTCAGACTCTTGGTTGACTGTGAGAAGTAGATCCTGGGGTATAGTCACAGCTGAACCATCATTCTGTCAGAGTGGAATAACACCTTAGTGCTTTTTAATATTAGCACCTTCTCTGACAGTATCATTTAATGGGGTTAACATATTATCTAGCAAATCAGACCAACCAAATGTAGGAAAGGCAGAGTCCATATAGGACACCAAGGAAGCAGTTTCTATGATTTTTAAGAAACATACACTTTTTTTTTTTTTTTTTTTTTTGGCACACAGGCTCTCGTTCTGTTGCCCAGGCTGGAGTGCAGTGGTGTGATCTCGGCTTACTGCAACCTCTACCTCCCAGGTTCAAGAGAGTTTCATGCCTCAACCTCCTAAGCAGCTGGAATTACAGACACATGCCACCACACCCAGCTAATTTTTTGTATTTTTAGTAGAGATGGGGTTTTGCCATGTTGGCCAGGCTGGTCTCTAACTCCTGACCTCAAGTGATCCACCCTCATTGGCCTCCCAGAGTGCTGGGATTACAGGCTTGATCCACCATGCCTAGCCTAATCTTGTTCTTATAACAAAGAACATCTACATTTAACAATACCATATTTGGTCTGAGACCAAGATTTCATCCCTTTTTCCTTTCATGTTTTGTCTCATCCTGAGTTGATTAAAAGGTCTTTATAGACAGATCATTTTTTCCCCCCTGCACAAAGGAAAAGCCATTTGGTCAGTGGCGGGAAAGTAGCTTAGTGTATTCTGTAGGTTCAGAAAGCCCTACCAGAATACCATAGTGGTGCCCTTATGAACTGAGAAAAATGAAAGCATTAATGATATCATACACTAAAAGCAATATTGAGCCCCCCAAATGCTAATGCAGATTAATCACATAAAATTCCATAGGATCGGTGGCTTTTAATTGTTATTTGTTCTTTCTTTTGGCCTATTACTCGATCTCTGTTCTCTTAAAGGGACCGACCAATGAAAGCTTATTTTCTCACTATGAAGAAAAATCATTGTGTCAACAATTGCAGAGATAATAGATTACTAGTATTCGTTGCTACAGTAGGAGTAATAGTTGATACTACAGAGAGTACAAACACTTGAATGCTGACTGAAGTTTTCATTCTAGGAAATTAAAGACAGTAGTATAATATCTACTCACATACTTCTTGGAGAAAAGATTTGCAGAGTCAACAGTTGGGGATGGAGAAGGGCGTAAAGAGGGTAGCAGCATGAGCCAAGGCCACAAATAGGTCCTAGCATTTGCTGGCCCAAGTTTTGTTGCAGAAATGCAACACCAGATGTAACATGAAAGATGGGTCATTGGTACAGTCTGCCATCAGGGCCAATCCCACCAGTTGCTTTCTCCTTGTGGTGGTTGCTTCTTGTAGGTAATCACAGATCATGTTGGGACTTTCTAGAATCAGGATGAGTTCTTCTTTTACCATTACTTACAAATATCTGGAAAGATCAGAAACAGACGCCCTGAATCATCCTTCATTGTACAGTTACCACTGGAGGGGGAGGCATATGGCCCTGCAGTTCTGAGGTCTTTCATTAAATGAAGCTCTGGTTATCACTAGGTTTTATGATTTTCCTTCAGCAGCAGTAGCAGCAATTTAGCTGCTGGTGTCTTTATACTACCCATCACAATGGCTGTCCCTGTCCAGTCTTTCCTTGTCTGTTCTCAGCTGGCAAATAAGAACTTCACAGTCTGAAAACTATTAAAGTTAGTTATTAGGTTGTGAGATGAAGCGTGTTCATAGAGATGAATGTTATCTTCTCTATCTATAGGAGAAGCCCCGATATCCAAGCAAAAGAAGAGTTATGGAAGCACATTCAGTGAGTAATAGTTTTTCTTTCTCATTGTTTTAAAACCCATGTAGTTTTAATGCAGTTGGAAGAAAGACTGCTGGTACTGAGAGGCAGCCTCAGCGTGATGCCTGCCAAAGCCATTGCCACCGTGTGTAGCAGGCACGGGGAGCACATGGTCATGGTGCCTTACCATATCAGAGCCTATCTACAGGCAGCCCTGACACCTCCTCACCTTGGGTCATTTAGTCTCGCCTCTAAATGGACCCCAGACAGGCCAATAGTTTACAAATAAATACCAAGGAAAACAAATCCAGAAGAAAAAAGACACCCACCACAGGGGAGAGAAGCAGATCTTTTATAGGGAAATGGGGAATGGCTGGAGTCTGAACGTAGAAAAATTGAAAGAACACAAAAGAGCTACAGAAAAGGTTTTACCCCTCCTATTTTTCCTTGAACACATTTTTAGTTTTTATAAATTTGTATTGGTTTTACTAACACTGTTTTGGGACAAGATTAGAAAGGGAAAACTCAGCTGCCAATTGTGAAAGATACTAGCATTTATACCAGCACTACAACTATCATTTTCTTGCTTATTCCTTTACAGAAAGGAACTTGTGGATCCATCCGGATTGTCAGAAGAACAATTGAAAGAGATTCCGTACACTAAAATAGAGTGAGTGCCTTTGAAAATCTTCTCACAAAAGCTTTATTAGTGCTTGTGAGTAATCCATTCTAATTCTTCAGTTGTGTTCCAGGCAGTGCTTTAATTTGTCTTTACATTTTAATCAAAATTAGGTGACAGTAGCAAAAGAGGAAGAAAAGTGTGTATTAAAGCTACTTATTCTACACTATAATCACTATCATGTCTTGTTAGTCACCTCTTTGTACATGGTAGGTACAAGGGGGGCTTTTCCTGATTAATGTCAGTTTCAAAATAAATTCTTTTCTGAGATTCTCATTGATAAAGTTTTTTATCCATTATTTTACACCAAGAGAATTATGTTGACCATAAAACTCTCATATGAGCCCAGTCCAATCTCTGGCATAGAAGCAGCACATTGAACAGGCTTCATGAAAGCACAGCAGGAGTCCCTAGTCACCAGTGTAAGAGGAGCCATACCTGTTGGCTGTGTTTTCTGCCTTGCCAGAACTTGGTTAAGAGAAAGTGAGTGCCTGCTTTGTTCCCCTCCTGCAGCTATGCTGCTTTCCCACCACAGTTAAACAGCAGGTTGGTACACCCCAGCCACCCTCTGTCCCCCTCTTCAGGTCAAAGATTTGAATATTCATTTGTTTTTAATTATTAAGGTATAATCAACAAATACAATTTGTGTATGTTTACAGTGTACAATGTGATGTTTGGATATATGTATACATTGTGAAATGCTGAAATCAAGCTAATATATCTATCACCTCACATACTTTTTTTTTTAATGGAGAGAACACTTAAGGTCTACTTTCTTAGCAGTTTTCAAGTGAAGATTGAATTCTTAATGTTAGTAGCTAGGACAGTGGACCAACTTTTTCCATTAGGAATGCCATTTTGTCTGCATTATAGATTTTGTTTTCTTCCACGCTACTAAAAAGAATTCCACTGTGAGGAATAATTTCATTTAAAATTTGGTGGTTAAAAAATATACATACACACACACATATATATACACAAATATATATACACAATATATACACAAATAACTGTAAAGAGCTTCATTTTCACATATGGTCAAGGGAGCATTTTTCTTGTGAAATTTAAGTCACTCAGGCTTTCAAAGCCTAGAGGAGTCAAGTTCTTTTTAAAACTCTGAAAGTTGCTATTCTTTTGCGGTTTCAATATTAAGGAAGAACTCCTACTTTTCCTCTTCTGACTTTGGGTGTTTGTTCCCATTTTTTTTGGTTGCTTGTTCAGGACACAAGGTGACCCAGTCCGCATCAGGCATTCTCATTCGCCACGAAGTTACCGGCAGTATCGCCGGTCCCAGTGTTCAGATGGGGAGCGATCAGTTCTCTCGGAAGTGAAGTAAGTGGGCAGGCCAGAGCCATCACCATCATGGCTCCAGAACAGTGCAGTCGAAAAGAACTTTACTTGCTCATGGAAATGTTTTATATGTACACTGCAGTACTCTTCCAACTTAATTTCTGATTCTAGGTACTGTTCCAGTCACTAACTCTAAAACTCATTCTCTGCAGTTCAAAAACAGATCTTGTACCACCGCTTCCAGTGACTCGTTCTTCGGATGCTCAGGGTTCTGGGGACGCTACAGTTCATCAGGTTAGTAATAGTAAGGTTTGAAGAAGGTGTTGTATTGATGACAATTTTGAGAAGCATTTTGTGCTTTGGAAAGTTCCTTTGGGGAGGTAGGGCAGGCAGTGAAACCTTAATGTCATTCTGAGATTCTGTATTTTAAAAGAACGTGTAAAAATCATGGAAGGAAAAGTGCATGATCAAGAACCTTGGTACAATCTGGGAAGAGTTAGGAATAACAGGTAGAGGTAGTGGGGCAAAGCTGACCATAATAAAGATTGTAAGATTGTTTGGAGCCAGAATAAAGAAACAATTGTTTCACTAATTAAAAAGCAACAATAACAACAGGTATTTTGAGCCAGAGAAACAAAGAGAAAGTGACAGACTCACATTGTTAACTAATAGCAGACAGAAGAATTACTTAAGTCCTGTTTTATTTCTGTCTTTTCCATCACAATTACTTTCATTCTGGAAATGTTTTTAAAATGTAGTTAAAAAGAAATTCAGAGACAGAACACCTAGCTGCCTTAACAAAATCACTTTAACACTTAGCTGAATTTGATAATCAGGGGAGCACTGTGGCAAACATAGTTCAGGAAGGGTTTCATACCACCTCTCATAATGTATTTTTTAATAAGATGGGAAAAAATGTGGGCTGAATAAGACAGTTGGATGGATTTATATCTGGTTAAACAACCACTGTAAAACTCTAAAAACAAAGTTGATGTGTCTGATGGATCAGGGTCAGCCCATTGTTCGTCGTGTTGTGGTTTTCAGTGTCGTTTGATCATGGATCCTTTAGAAAAGCCAGTTGTATCTACTGACTCTCATCCCAAAAAATGCATGTAAGCACATGTACAGTTTTTGGATCACGTAAGAAGCCTGACACCAGCAGTATCTATCATGTGTGGCCCTTTTTGTTTTTATCAATGACTGGAGCAAGGCCTGTGCTAATTTAGGTTAGGTTCCCTAGATAGATTCTGAAATGGAGATCTGCATGCAGGAAGCTTGTTAGAAAGTGCCCACGGGATCCACACTTGTTGGGGAGAAAGTGAAAGACGGGTTTGGGCAGAGGCAAGAGCTGATCCCACAGGGAGCTCTAGAGTTGAGATGGCTCTTCAAATTCATCCTACCGTGAGACAGGGGGGTTGAACCTTTACACATTCACACTCACCCCATAGAAATCACTGGGTAAGGGATGTTCTGGGAGGGGGGTTCTCTTCAACTGAGGGCAGTTCCTGGGGAGGGGCTCAGTTTTGAGCTACATGGCAGGCAACACTCCCAGCAGCTGGAGAATGAATGCCTCAGTCTAGAATGGAGGTCTGCGTGGTAAACACAGCTTCTACTATAATCTGCGTAATATTTGATGAGATCAGCCTGGGAGAGCTAATAGGTTGTCCAAATAGACATTTGGTTTAAAGTCGACAGTACTTTTTCAAAATGATATTCATGATTAAGTTTAGGCTTTGCATTCTGACTGACCTGAATAATTTGTGTTTCATCTCTGCATACTACTTGTGTAACTTTAATACTGCTAAACTTCTAAGCCTCAATTTTTATACAGTGTAGATAACCTACCTCCTATGGTTATTGTGATGATTAATAAGCAGTTATCATTTGTTTTTTTGTTTTGTTTTTTTTTTTGTCTTAAATTTTAGTTGGTTTCAATACAAGTAGTAATTTTTATTTCCACTCAGGAATTAAAAAAACTTACACACATTCTAAGTTGGAAGAATAGCTTTCACTTTGCGGGACACAAGAACTCACATGCATCTTCTGATCAGTGGCACTGATTCTAAGCCTGTCTCCAGAACACTTTTGATTTTGAATTCAGTAAATATCCAGTGAGCCCATCTAAGGAATGTCAAGCACTGGTCTGAGCAATCAGCAAACCATGGCCTAAGGGCCAAATCTAGTCTGCTGCCTTTGTACAGCCCAGAAGCCAGTAATGGTTTTCACACCTTTAAAGGGTTGTTTAAAAGCAAAACAAAGTAACAGTAACATGTGACACAAACAGGATGTAGTTTACAGTCTGGCTCTTTATAAAAAAGTTTGATGGCCCTAGCCTAGACGTGGAGGCATAAAAGTAAACAGTTAAAACAAATAGGAGTATGCATTACAAAGAAATGCCTGAGCTAGAGGAGCAACAAAGTGACCTCACTTTGCATGTTTACGGTGTTCAGAGAAGGCCATCTCAGAAAGTGGCATTTAAAGCTGAGACCTGGCAGGTGAGGAGCCAGCCATGTGAGTGGCTGCAAGGCTGATGTAATCAGAGTGAGGAATATAGGGAAAATGCTGACTCTGGAGAGGGCCTGGGTATTTGAGGAGCTGAAAGACCAACATGCACTGAGCATGAAGGGAAAGGCAGATAACACAAGGCCTTAAAGGCTGTGGGAAACATTTGGATCTTATTGTTTTATTCCAAGTGCTTAAAGGAAGCCACTCATCGGCTGCCATGCGGAGAAGGGGCTGGAGTGACCAATGGAATCTAGAAAGGTGCATTTCCTAATGCAACTTTTAAGTTCTAATTTCCACCACAATGCCACCAGAGTTCTGGCAGTGACCTGCCCTACACCTCACCTTGCCTTTTCACGCAAAGGCTGCTAAGAATGGGGAAGAATAGCAACTTAATTTCTTAAGGTATGCAGAGTGGACAGATTCAATCCTAGGCAAACAACATAGTACTTATTTCAGGTCCTCTCCTAGCAATCTTTTCTGGTAATTCTTCTGCTATATTTTCCTCTCACATTCACTGGTGTCCTCTTCCGACCTCTGGCTATCCAGAAATCTTCCATCCCAAATAGACTGGTTCATACTTCCCATGATAGGCAGAATAATTATTCCATCAGTGCTTTTTGAATGCCAGTAAAACAAATTAAGCCAGTCATAGGAACAGATTAAAGGTAACTGCATTTTAAAAGAGGGATTATTTTTTTTTAGCTCAAACAAATCTCAAAATAGACTGGGACAGTGTAGCCCATTATTTGTGGGCATATACATTTGCGGAAGGAAATATGCTTGCCAGCCTGATACACTAACAATGTTAGGCCATCTCTTGGAAGTAACAGCAGGAGGGGTTTGCGTAAGAAGGAGCAGATGTGAGTTAGTGTCATTCTCAGAGCCTCCACCTGTGATGATGGGAGATGTGTAAAACCTAAGTTTTACAAAGTAGTGGATGTGGTGCCCAGGCTCTGGTAATCAGCTGCCCTGTTTCTCCATACGAGACAAGTGATAGGGGCTCACAAGACATTGCTCCATTCATTGACTGCTGAAAATAAAATCAGGGGATTATAAATTGCCTCCAACTCTCTCCATCACTATTCTGTTTGCAAAAGTGAGAAGGTTGAGAGCCTGGTTTGGGAATTATTAACAAAAGTAATGACAGATTTGGGTGAATTATGCCTAATATTCATGAATAAAATCGTTATGAATGTAAATGTCAGACTAACTTTGTATATTAAACAAAGATTAAATACAAACTTTGTTTATTTTGCACAACTATTTAGAGGGAACATTTATTGAATAGCTTTTGGTATTATGAAACTTTTGAATTAACTCAGTATCTTCAATTTAAGAGCAGCTTGGTTTCTGATGTAATTAAAATACTTCATTTGGTTGTTTTCTTCTGAGTCTTTCTGTATTTTTCAAATATATTTTATTTTAGAGAAGAAATGGGTCTAAAGATAGCCTGATGGAAGAAAAACCTCAGACATCTCCAAACAACCTGGCTGGAAAACACACAGCAAAAACAATAAAAACTATCCAAGCTTCCCGCCTCAAGACAGAGACTTGATCCTGATGAAGGGTCAAGGATAGGGGTGGGAAGGTTGTGTGCACCACTGGTACTTTCCAAACTGTGAAATAGATACCTTGATTCAAATCTCAGACCTGCGAGTATTTCAGCGTAAGACAATGTTATATTTTGCTTTTTTTTTTTTTTTTTTTTTGAGATGTTACCACTGTCGCCCAGGCTGGAGTGCAGCAGCACCACGTCAGCTCACCACAACCTCCACTTCCTGGGTTTAAGCGATTCTCCTGCCTCACAGGCGTGTGCCACAATACGTGGCTCTTTCTGTATTTTTAATAGAGACAGGGTTTCACCATGTTGGGGGCTGGTCTCAAACTCCTGACCTCAAGTGATTGGCCTGCCTCAGCCTCCCAAAGTGCTGGGATTATAGGCATGGTTTAACTACAGCACAGTCGTGCTGAAGCACCTTTTTGTTTGAACTGGAAGAATAAGTATTTTGTAAAAATTCACTTGAAACCACATTTTCGTTTCTGGAACAGGCTGGCAATCATTCATTTCTGACTATGTTGTGTCTGTGTCCACCACAACCAAGACCAGATGCATCTGATGAACGTTCTGGAAATCTGAACTGCAACTAGCCTGCTGTGCAATAGTACAAGTGGGAGGACGTCTTCCCAGCTCTGGGTTGGTTCTCAAGTAGCGCCCAGATGCAAAAGGACTGAGGCATCACTTCCAGACTGCAGATATTTTTATTCATATAGTTCTTTATAATACTGTATTTTGTGGTGTTAAGTTCCACCAGTTATTTACAAATGATGTAAAAAGCTTTGTTTTTAAGTGTTAATTTCTAAAGTGTTCTTGTCTTGTGTTTTCAGAAGTCTATGTGGATTTCAGTTGATCCCTCACCCCAAACCTCAAATGATCTATCCACCCTGCTTGGCCATCTAACTCACCTGCTCTCCCCAGTGACTATTTTGGACCTTTCCTCTCCATAGATGACTTTGCAGTCTACGGGGAAAATACTTACACAGGATGTCTTACATCTCCCTCTTACCACATACAGTTCTCTCCACAGCTGCCAGCAGCCCTAACCTTTTTGTCTCTCCGCCTGTGCTTTGGAGGCTCTCTCCCAGCCTTTTCAGGATCTTTGTATCTCCTCCTCCTATATTAATGTATTCAATCATTCTCTCAGCTAGATCCTTGCTACTTCATTTTAAATTTAAAACTAAGACTACAGAAAACTATCTTTCATAACTACAACCCCCCACCCTCTAGCAACTATGATTTTCCTCTCATTCTCAGCCAATCTTCATGCAAGGAGTTATCTTTAGTCATTGCCCTCAATTCAACTAATCCATATCTTAAGTGATTAATATCAATCACTGTGTCACTTAATCCCAGGGAGAATTTTTAGGATATGCTTTTGCTTCTTTAATGTAATCCTATTTTGCTCCTACCACATACTGACCACCCTTTCTAGCTTATCATGCTTTACCTTGCCATTAGTGGAGTTTCTCTAACTTCAAACCCTAGGCCCTCTTCCTCTACCCCGGGTAGATACCATTTATACCCATGGCCTTAAGGTTTATTTCTGTAGTTTAGACTACCGAGTAATGTGCTACTGCAAAAAGACCATTTGGATTTCTTAAAGGTAATTTAAGAAATCAGCTGTTTAAATGCTGCTCCCCAACTGGATTTATAGTCATTATGCTCATCAGTGTGCAAGCTCGACACCTAGCAGTTATGGACACCTCCACTATTACCAAGTCTAGTTGGCTCTGTCATCGAACTATAAACAATTTTATTTCACTAATTTTACTAGTGCAAGATGGTCTCTCGCCTAGACAACAATAAGCAACCTAGTCCAACTACCTTTTTTTGCAAATCTGATTTTCCACCATGGACTTATCTTGCTTTAATAAAGCCAGAGGGAGCCTGAAGTGGTGTGTCTGGCTTCTTTACCTACCTCTTCAGCCTCATTTTGTAACACTCCCACCTCCCATAATAGCCATCTTACATGCCTCAGTAAACAACTCAATTCTGAAACAAGGCACTGAAGAGGGAAAGCAGCCAAAACTGTCACAAAAGTAAGTGGACTTATGGTATCTTTTTTCTAGCCCAAGCCTCTGCATGTCATTTCCCCAATTTTGCCTTGTGAAAAGTATGACACATACCTTTGGTCTCAACTCTTTCTCAGGTTTCCCCAAGAAAATCCTATCATGGAACTCATAGTGAAGTTTTACATGTGATGACATTCCCTCCACTCAACTTTGTTTCCAAAGGGAAGAACTGTGTTGTGCTCGTCATCGTGTTCTTAGCTCCTAGTACAGTGCTTTCAATAAATTTTTTGAATACCTGAATACATTATTTGTTGTTTCTTGCAAAGTGAAGGCAGAAGATATGCCAATATTAAGTGTACAATCTAGTTGGAAGGAAAAAATGTATGCATTGGGTGCAGTAAAGCACACCTGTCACTAGAATCAGTCTAGTTCTCGCCACGATTTTTGAGTCACTGGAAGAAAGTACATTTCTCTTTGGGCCAAACACAAGCTATTGTAAGGCTATTAATTATGGTGACAACAGTGAAAACTGATCAAAAAAGAAGCCCTCCTCCCTTATAACTTTTTAGAAACAGCTATTTCTGGCAGTTAATCACTTAAAACACAAATGTCAAAGTGCATTAATATATTTATTCACATCCTCACTGTCTTAAGTGTGTATTTACAGACTCCAACAGGCAGTTATGTCAGAAATCCTCAGACTCCCGGCAATTTCAAATGAGCCAAGCAACTCTTGTGAAGACCAAATTTTCAAACTCTTCACCAAGGGCATCCTAAGAGAAAAAATAAAGTACTCAATTCGGCAGCAGATATTTTTGTGTAACATTTTAATCAAGAACTTGGTAATTAATATGCCTGCGATTTGACAAGTTTTTTAAAAACTCAATGACTACACATAAAAACAATTCTTAAGGGATCCAGAATGCCAGTACTATGCGTATTTATTTCCCTGGGCTTCTCAGGATGTATCAGCAAAACTTTCCCAAAAATAAACTGTGGAGGCTGTCCCATTTGTTAACTCACCTAAATAGCTACAGACGGAGCAACACTACGAATGTACCACTAACATTATTACTCACTAGAGAAGGAGCCCCAATCTAAAAGGTGATAAAAATTCCCATTACAAAGTGCTTTATGACATTTCACCCTACCTTCTGGTCACCTTTGTGCTCCCAGATGGTATTCAGCTAGCAGCAGTCTACACTTCAGGCATCCATCTTCCACCTGAACAAAAATTAAAACTGCTTAAGACAAACCATACACTTGTGGCTGGCGAGGTCAAGATCACGCGTGTAAATGTAAAAGCAGCAACTGTTACTTATGCAGCTCCTACACCAAAGATACCAAATTCAAGGGCAGGAAAAGGCTGCAAAGCGTTTAATTTACGCCTTTTTTGACACCACATTCACTAGTTTCCAAAGTGAATGGGCAACACAAAGGCTGACCCTGCGCGAGGTCGGCTCTAGGACATAAGGTTGCTGACTGGCTGACAGTAATCTGATTACAGCCTAAAAACGAACACTACATTTCAGAGAAATTTTCTATTTAAAATCCGACTTAGTAATGAAAAGTGAAATGAGATGCGTTTTAAATGGCGACTCGTCTCGCACCAACGTGAAAACTCACCTGCAGGGTAGGTGATCACTGCCGCCGAGTACCGCATATGGAAACAGCCGTCACCAGGCCCTCTGCTTTTAAGTTATTTTACCCGGGGGCAGGGCAGGCATAAAGTCAGGTAAGGCCTTTTCACTAACGAAAATAAAACCAGGCTTATCTGGAGAACTCCCGGGCATAGTCGATGATCTAAACACAAATCCACCAGCTCCCCGTTTCCAAGCTTGGGAACGCAGGCGCGAGGCCAGGCCGTTTACCCTTCACGCGTTCACGGCCCCGGACACCTCGGACACGGTCCGGCCGCCGCAGTCGACTCACCAGACTCAGGGTGGCCGCGTTCCCCTGCCCGGCGCCCCGGCGTGAGAGACCACGCGGCCACAGCCAAGCGCCATCCCGGAAGACCCAGCGCAAAAACCACACCAAGCTCGCACCAAAAGGAAGAAAGACCGACCTGCCGTCCCACAATCCTTTTCTAGAAGTGGAAGGACCCACTGTCCGAGGGCGCGAGGGGGGAGCGAGCTGTACCATCGGCCCCTGCACTCTCGCGAGACGCCGCCGTGTGGCCGGAGGGAGAAGTGCCAGTGAGGGACCGAGGGGCGGGGCGTGTCACCAAGGGAAAGAGGAGCCTGGGTTCTCAGCCTGAGTCACCTCTGCGGTTTTGTGACCAGTTCTTTCCATAGAGGAAGTATCCAGACCCCCCCGCCCCCGCCCACCCCGCCCAGGGTCAAGAGCATATTGTCAGTGCTGGCAGCAACAGGAGCCCAAAGGACTTTAGACCACGTGTTTTGGGACCCGACAGAATTCATGTCCCCGGCTGAGGAAGAGCAGGGTCATTCATTCGAAAGATATTCAGTCAGCACTTACTATGCTCCAGGCCCTGGCCTGAGTGCCTGGGAATCAGATGTGGGTGAGCCAGGCAAGGTTCCTGTGGTACATTCTGCTTGGGTGAGAAGGCCACTGACCAGGTGAGCCCGGATGCTGAAATTCCACAATGTAAGTGCCAGGAAGGCAGCAAAAGAGGGTCATGCCATAGAGCAGCGCTGTCCAATGGAAACAGTGTGAGCCATGAATGTAATTTTAAATTTTCCAATTGCCACATAAAATGTAAAAAGAAGGCAGGGTGCAGTGGCTCATGTCTGTAATCCCAGCACTTCGGCAGGCTGAGGCAGGTGATCATCTGAAGTCAGGCGTTCAAGACCAGTCTGGCCAACATTGCAAAACCACGTCTCTACTAAAAATACAAAAATTACCCGGGCTTGATGGCGGGTGCCTATAATCCCAGCTACTTGGGAGGCTGAGGCTGGAGAAATCGCTTGAACCCGGGCAGGGTAGGGGCAGAGGTTGTGGTGAGCTGAGATTGCGCCACTTTACTCCAGCCTGGACTAAAGGGTGAAACTCCGTCTCAGAAAAAAAAAAAAAAAAAAAAAAAGAAACAGGTCAAATTAATTTTAATAATAATCCAACCTATGTTAACTATTTCAACAGGCAATCAATATAGAATTAATGGAATTATTAAGATATTCTTTTATATCTACTAAGTAATAAAAATCCAGTGTATATTTTATACTTCCAGCACATTTTGGTTCAGACTAGACACATTTCAAGTGTTCAGTAGCTCATGGGGCTAGGCATAGGAAGACTGGAGGTGAACTTTCAGCAGATGTGTGAAGGCGGTTATGCAAGATCTGGGGACAGGAGGCTTTGGACAGTGTGGCTGGAGTAGAGTAAGGAGTACAGAGTGACAAGATGCAGCTGGAGAGCCAGGCAAGAGCAAGGCACTTAGGGTCTTGTCACATAGGGTAAGGTAATGGGATTTTATGCTGAAATCTTAGAGTTGATTAATTATCACCACAAAAATAAAGCAGAGTTCGTTAATTGGCTTTTTTCCTGATAACCATAACTCCTTGAAGGGACAGGAGTGGCAGCAAGACAAGTTGTATGATGACAACTAGGTGTCCATGTTTCTCTAAGTTGCAGCAGAGATTCATCCAGAGACCAGTCTTAGCATCTTTCGTTGTTTCTTGGAAGCCTAATTCTATAAAAGAAAGAAAGAAAGAGAAGAAAAAGAGCTTATCTCCAAATACATCAAGTTATATACATTAAATACAACGTTTTGTATCTCAGTCATACCTCAATAAAGTGGTTTAAAAAAAAGAAAAAAGAAAATTCAGGCTCACAGCCCAGTGGTCATCACACAAAGACTAGCGTGAATGATAACAAAATCAATCTGGAAACAATGACTGTACAGAAGTAGTAAATGTATAAATATTACAAGAAAGTAAGTAACTCCAGACTTCATTAGGAAGTCACTGTAACATCTGGGGCAGAAGGCAGGTTGCGGAAGGAAGGCAATACCACCAAGACTGTCCTTTAAAAACAGCGAAAGGCACAGTGTGGGGATTATAAAACACCTTAGTCTTGCCTTCTTGCTAGGCAAAGTCAGTGACAAGTTTTGGCTGTGTCCTCACCCAAATCTCATTTTGAGTTGTAGTTCCCATACTCCCCACGTGTTTTGGGAGGGAGCTGGTGGGAGGTAATTGAATCATGGGGTTGGTTGCCTTCATGTTGTTTTCGTGATGGTGAATGTGTTCTCGGGTCATCTCACCAGATCTTTGCTCCGCTCTTCTTCCTGCTGCCATGTGCAAAAGGATGTGTTTGCTTCCCCTTCCGCTATGATTGTTAAGTTTCCTGAGGCCTCCCCAGCCATGCTGAACTGTAAGTCAATTAAACCTTTTTCTTTTATAAATTATCCAGTCTCGGGTATGTCTTGATTGGTAGCATGAGAATGGACGAATGCAGTGAGAGAGGAAATTTTCTTGGACTGGGGCAGCCAGCATACCTAGGTTTATATCTCCCTCTGACATTTGCTCCCTTAGGTATGTGACCACCATTGTGAACCTGAGTTTCCTCATTTAAAGGTAATAACTACACACATGTACTATTTAGGTTAGTTTAAATAATTAAGAAAGGTTTGTGGAATCACATAGCATTGTGTGTGGTACATAATGACATCCAATAAATGACTCATATGAGCTAGACTTTTCCTCTCTTTTATCCCTACCCCAAATATGGAACCTTCTTGGATTGAGTTCTTATGAAAGGGGAAAACATGCTGTTTTTCTTTTAATGGCTTTACGTTATTGCTCCCACTTTCCTCTTTTCTCTTCTTCCCTTTGTATCTGCTCCCCAAACTTTCCAAAATTAGGCAGAGGAAAGGCATTTGTGTTAATTTGTTATGGTAGCAAGAGCAACCTAATATACCCTATAAGGGGCAGACAGTAAGTGAGCTTTATTTGTTACTCCACCCTTTCTTGTCCTATCCTGATTTTTTCATTAGGAGTAGAAGTGAGAGTTTTGCATTTTAAAATAATTAATCCATATAAAGCTGACTTTTGCTTATAGTGAGTGCTAGGGATAACCAGTTGTTCTAAGATGGTTTATCAATAGCTCATCCTTTCTACATAGATCTACCATGCCACTATCATCACAGATCAGGGTTTTTTTGTTTGTTTGTTTTTGTTTATCTTTCTTTTTGTATGGATGTACCTTTACACTGTCTATTCTGTCCTACTCGTCTATTTGTCTCTCCTGTGTCAATATTACACCATCTCAATTATTATATTTTTGTAATGTCTTGATATTTGCAATGGCAAATACCCTGCCCTCCCACATCCATATCACCACCCAGACACCATTATCTTTTTCAGGGAAGTCTTAGCTATTATTGTCCCTTTTCTCTTGCACATAATTTTTAGAATTAGATTGTAAAGTTCAGTGAATCGAACTGGTCCACTTTTGCTTTGACTTGGACTCCTTCTACCTTTTGGTAATCATTGTTTGATGATGCTTGTTTTCAGGATTGTGCTGCTAAAGCCATATTTAATCTTTTCATTGAACTTTACAATCTAAAGATTGTTGGGATTTTTATTGGAATTGCATTGGATCTGTGATAAACTGAAGGAGAGTTGACATCTATATGAAAATGGTATGTGTGATAGTTGATTTTATGTATCAACTCTGGATCACAGGATCCTCAGCCATCTAGGTAAACATTATTTCTGGGTGTGTCTTTGAGGATGTTTCCAGAAGAGATTAGCATTTGAATCAATAAACTGAGTAAAGGAGATTTACTTCCTCATTGTGGGTGGCATCACTTAATCCTTTGGGGGCCTGAATAGAACAAAAAAGGGGAGAAAGAAAGGATTTACTTGCTGTTTGCCTGACTCTATCAGCTGGAACATTAATCTTCTGCCCTCAATTCCCCTGGTTCTCAGGCCTTTGGAATCTACACCACCTGCTCTCTGGCTATTCCACTGGCATTCTTGGGCCCCCAGCTTAGAGACAGCATCTTAGCACTTCTCAGCTACCATAATTGCATGAGCCAGTGCTCCTAATGTTTCAGCATGTGTGTATGGTGTGTGTGACACTTTTATGCCTTTTTTATTGTTTATTGGATTAGGGAAGTTTCCTTCTATGTCTACATTGCTAATAGTTTTTTTTTTTTTTTTAATTGTGAGTGAATGTTGAATTTTATTACTTTTTCTGTCTCTCTGGATGAACATATGGGTTCTTTTTTTGTTATTATGGTGAATTGCATTAATACATGTTCTAATATTAAACCAATTTTGCATTTCTGGAAGAAACAAAACATGTCATTTCAAAAAATATTCTGTTTAGAGTTACTGCAGTTCTGTTTATGGATGAGACTGTAGTTATTTTTTTATACTGTCTTTTAAAAATTTGATAGTAAAATTACATAGATATTTACTTAACATTAATAATTTGTTTCTGAAAATTAGATGTTCTGTTCAAAAACAGAGTCTATTTCTCTTTATTTTAAATGGCAAAATTATAATGGATTACTTGTGAACCCAAACGAATTTTCCTAAAATGTAAGTAAAATATGGTAAACCTATATTAAATTTGCTTCCTGACCCCCAAATAATATAGTTGTTGACAAATAGTTGCTTTGTTAGCAGTAATAGAGTTTCTTTCATTGTAATTGTTTTTCTGCTTGTTTTGCTTCCTTTTCTATAAAGTTCTTCAACACTTTCTTGACTTTTATTCAGTCTCATTGTTATAATTAGGAGGAAGATGTGGTGGTGGGGAAGAAATATGAAAGTCACTCTAGAAATGTGTCACAGAATGATTCACACTGAGGATGAAACAGTAACGCCTCTTGTATCATCAGTGGCATTTGTGTGGAACATCCCTGTCACTGATATTCAGGATGCTTTTGGATATGCTGACACATGATGCTGTCATATTACTAATTGTGTTTATGATGTATCTCAAAGCATTTGCTACATTCTTTTTTTTTTGGTTGTTGTTAAAAATGTTGTATTGAGTTTTGGGATCTAAAATATAATTTTTTTCTGTATAAATATAATCTGAAATGTTGTATGATGTTATGGTCCTAAATACAAGAGGTAACTTAGTGGGAAAATATAAATCTGTGGAGTATTCCTGTACTCACTTTATAAAGTAATCTGAAGAACTATTCCTCTCTTTCTCTTACCTGAAAGTTTTTGTGTAATGTCAGAATTCTTTTTCTTAATTAAAAAATTCCACTTTTAAGACTAAGTCCAGTATTTTCTTTGTGGGACAATTTTAAACTACTGATTTCAATTTCCTTAATGGACACAGGACCGTTCAGGTGTTCTAGTTCTTTGGTCAGTTTTGTTAAGTTTAAGTTTCTAGACAAGTATACATTTCCTGCACGTTTTTAAATATGTTGGTAGGAAGTTGTTCCTTATAGTATCTGATTATCTTTTGAAATCTCTGCTTTT